CAACAGAACTGTATTTGCATTGTCTCGTGGAGTTCTTTGGGCTGAACCTGACATCAATCTCTCCAGACTGAACCTCAGTTCCCAAGACAGCAAGCCACAACACCGTGCATTCCTTAGGGTGGTGCCAGTCTCATCTTCCCACGCTCTTGTTGGGGGCTAAGGAAACGCTTATCTCCTTGAGCGTGTCCTTCATAACAACATTCCATCACAATTAGGTTCTGTCTAGTTCAGGTGCCCTTAACCTAGTAGTCAACTCTGTATTAGCTCAGTGCAAAGGAAGATGGAATATGACTTCTCAAGGCAGGGGAGAATAATCTATGTGCTCAGGGTTACCGTATCTCTCCATCCCAAAATTTTGAATAGGGCCCACAGATAGGAGCTTCAAGCTATAATTTTAAGATAACCAAAGGGGGGAGGAGAGAGTAAATGCATGGGGAAATAATCTTACAAAATCTACCAATTTTTTTGTTTTACAATGTTTTAATGCTGGCGTTCAAGAAGGTTGTCAGACTATCTGCTCTTGAAGTAGCTTTTGGGCAAGAGAGCTCCTGCATGTTTGCTTATCCTCCCCTCCTTCAGCTGCTTTTTATAATGTTTTGGATTTCCTGGTAATAAGCGGCATGGAGCGCAGAACCTGTGTTTTGCAAATAGATGGGAATATTGCTCAACAGTACTAATGCCCAGATGATGTTTAAATTACATTAACATTAAAGCCGTTTGATTTTTTTCTCCATCTCATTCACTGCAGGGGACTAAAGGCTCCAGCGTATCCCTTACAAGGCCAAGTTCAGCCTTTGGCCTGAAAAGGTTTGGGGAGTGTGACTCCCTGACCTATGTCCATTAATTTGACTTCCTGATTTTGACAGCAGCCAGAGGCAATGAGATGGCAATTCATGTGGGCATGCTAGGGCCAAGATCCTGCACAGCGGAGGATCTGCAGGTGGCTTTTGGACCAATCCCAAAAGGCAGTACCATGCTTTTTGGTTTGGAAAAGTTGTGCTGTCTGATACAGGTAGTTCTTGCTTAATGACCAAAACAGGGACCAGAAAATTGGTCGTTAAGCAGAGCGGACATTGAGCGAGTCACCATGTGACCGGACCCAATTTTATGACCATTTTTATAATGGTCATAAAGCAAATCACATGGTCATTAAGCAAATCCAGCTTCTCCAATGAATGTCTTTTGCCAGAATTCACTTAATGACCACATGATTTGCTTAACACCCCGGTGATTTGCTTTATGACCATCATAAAAAAGCCTGCAAATCATGAACACGTGATCATGCGGGGGGGTGCAATCATTTGCGATGGTCGTAAGTGTGAGTGCGGGTCATAAAGCACTTTTTCCGAGGCACTCGTAACTTCACACTGTCATTAAGTAAGCCATCGTTAAGTGAGGACTGCCTGTATGTAAAAACAACAGAGCCACTCCAAGGAGCGGGTGCCCACTGACGTTGGTTTTGGGAATCTGTGGCTGCAGCTGGGAGTTCCTGAAAAACAATTCTGGTTACCCTGCAATTGACGATGAACCTGGCTGAACCTGCAGAGAGCCAAGCTCACCCTCCAGCTCTGCAGAGTTATGGACTTGGCCTCAACCAGCATTAGGAAAATTCTGAACAGTATTTGACAGGAACATGTGTGCTGGGAAGGGGGAGGAATGACATAACCAATCAATTGTTATTCCCCAGCAGAAGCAGAGCTCAGCTGAAGTCTGTCACAGCACATCTTTGTTGGCGTTCAAGAAGGCAGTCAGACTATCTACACTGGAGTAGCTTTTGGGCAAGCGAACTCCTGCATGTTTATTTATCCTCCCTTCCTTTAACTGCTTTTTATAACAGTCTGGATTTTCTAAGTGTGGTTATGAGCTGCCTGGAGCGCAGGAGAACCTACGTTTTGCAAATAGATGAGAATATTGCTCAACTGTGCTGATGCCTAAATATAAATGGGTGAAATATTGCAAGATTCTGGCAATCTCATGTCCCAAATCTCATGCGATTTCCAAGAATCAGAGTTGGAAGTAGCCACTGAGACTTGTGCTTTAGGGCGGGAGTCCAAATTAAACCACTCATCACAAGTATCTGTCCAGCTCCTACCTGAACATGTTCAGAGAAGGAGACCCCAACCACTGCTCTGGGTAACTGGTCCCTGACATTGCAGAGACCTCTTCCCGTCATTTAAGGCTCTATTCTTTGTCCTATACTCTGAGAGGATACAGAACACATTTTGGACCAAGCTGACTTCCTTTCACGTGCTACCATATCCCATCTTCCACCTTCCTTTCTCAAGACCAAACATTCCCCGTTCCCTCAATTACTTCTCCTAGGACTTAATTTCCAAGGAGATCTCATATGAGAATTCAAAAATATCATGCATAAAAAAAAAAAAATCCTGTGGATGTAGTTTAGGAAGGTAACATGCGTGTGCCTTGCTGACAATCCCCAGTTCTAAAATGTGCCTTGCTGGAGAAGCCATCCCATCTTTCTGTTCTAGAAGCTTGGTCCAAGAGAAAGGATCATGGAATCTGGGATTTTAGGCCTTCTTTTCTGGGTATCTCTCAAAGAACCCTCTGGGGAACCTTAGTTCTAAAGCTGGAATACAACACAGCACCACAGATTGTGAGTGGAAACTCCCCTTGCATTGCTCATTCCATGCTGGAAGATGCAAGTGGTTTAAAAACACAAGCGACCTATCCAACTCAAGGAAAGAAAGATGGCGAAGTCTACTTTGGTTAACAGACTCTTATTACAAATTGGCGATACAACCAGAAGCCCCCCAATTTCCCAGTGTATGCTCTTTCTTTGACAAACGTAGCTAACAGGTCAAGAATCTTCAACTGGGTGTTTGGTTAATTTAACAAATGGAGTTTCTCTGCAGTGCCCACCCCCTAGTCACTCAACTGCATGACAGACAAGGCAGTTCAACTCAGACCCTTTTTTCCCCTATAACCCTTTCTTGCTAGCAATTTATTGACACAAGTCAACACCCCTCCAAAGGAGAGGTTTTTGTCAGGGCTCAGCTTATCCATCAAGCCAGCAATTCATCCCTTTTTGAAACCCACGCAAATCTGTGAGTGGTGCATTTTCATAACAAACAAACAAGCAAGCCAAAAGAGGAGATTTTCATCAAAGCCGAGCTGTTCTCCTCAACTCATAGGCAAGATTTGATTTGGTTTTTATTTTCGCATACACTCTGCTTTCCAGGGAGTGAAGGGAGCAGTGGAGGCAATAAATCATTTTAAACACCTAGTCAAATACTGAAGATAGGCAAGATTGAAATATCAAAGTGGGAAGGATCCTGGAATCCATAAAAACTCACTTTCTACAGGCCAACTGAAGTTGGGTCTAAATATCCCCTAAAATGGGTTTGCGATATAGGTTTTTGGATACAATTTCCTCCTTCTTCCTCCGACTCCATTCCTCCCATACATCTGGCCTCTCTCTTTCATCTCATGCAAGTATTCAAATCCAGTGGACCCCTAAGATTTGTTAACTTTGAGATGTTCACCGAAGAAAGGTTTCTAGCCCTCCTCTCCTCTCACCAAAACCTCTTTGGATGGACTTCCTGAATGATGTAGTAGTAAGTGCTACTGTGGTAAGGGAGTGGCAAATATTTATTCAATAAATTTCCCTGTGTTATGGTAGGATTGAAGGTAAGACTTTTTTAATACCCTCTGATGTAACCTCCTTCAGCTTGAGGTTCCTCAGAAAATGTTATCATAATCCTGAGCCAGTCTGGCCCAATGGCCAGCAGTGATGGGAATTGTAGTCCATATCTTGAGATTCAAGATGGAAAAGTCTGCCCTAAAGCTTTTCTCCAACCAGTTCTGAAAACGTGATCTGCTCTGTTCATTGAAAAGTTAGCCAAACCTTCTAAAAAACAGCACTGCTTTCACTGTCATTCAAACTGGAATACAAATCTCAAACAGACATCACTAAGGATGTTGCTTTCTTTTGGAAATGATGGCCCCTAAATGGCCCTCCCCAATAACTTTTTGCACAGTCTTTCAATCAGTTTCAGCAGTTGATACAGATGTTCTGGGTTTTATCTTTGTTGTCCCTTTCCCCCCTGCCAGAATATAAAGCTAGACAGCAACCTGCCATCAGGAGGGTCTGATGTGGTTGAAATAGAGTAAGCAGCTGTGTTCACACAACACATTGAACTCTAAACCCAGGTTAACAAAACACGATGATTACGTTCCTATAACATGCAGTGCCTAAACACTGACACTGTTTCATGGCTTAACACGATGACCCACTTTGCACAACCTAAGGGGATGGCTAGGTTTCCTACAACACACTGAACTACAAAGTCCTTTACTCCATTTTAGTTTAGTGGAATATGGTGTGCAAACCCAGCCAGTGTTTGTACACTCGTAAACAGTCTAGCATTCTCCACTTAATGCCATTCCAGGATCTGAACAACTAGGATCCACCCCCCTTTGTAGGATCTGCAAGACATTCTTCTAGAAGGCAGCAACACATCACCAGGAGATTTCTCTGTTCTGCTTCCACACCCCATGGGTTTGGTTCGCCATCCCAGTCATACTTTCCCCTCCTGGCTTTGGATCAGGAAGAAAATCCCAGCCATGGAAATACTTACTGTTAGTCTTGAGTCGTGCAGGTTCACTATTCCGGCTGCCAGCCTGATTGATTGCCTTGACGAGGAAGATGTATCGCGTGCCACTCTGCAACCCGTGCACAGTATAATGGTTCTGCTTGATGTTGGGGACAATCATCCAGCTGTCCATAGAATTGTAGAGGCCTGGAAAAAAAGGAGCACAGCACAAGAATCCTAAAAAAAAAGTGTGGCCAGGTGAAAACAGCTTCCAGTTTGTGCCAAAAGGGAAAGGCAGTTGCCTTTCAGGGTACAGAAGGGCCCCTTCCTCTTCTTCATCTCAGCAACTACTCCTTTGAAGCATTCAGCCTTCATTGGGCTTATCTGGAACCATGGCTACACCAAGCCACTTCTACAGCTCTCTGGAATCCAGAGAGAAGGTATGTCAATCATTAAAGGCCACAGAAACAGCCAAGGATCCAGAAGGAGGGCAACACATCTTTTCAGTTCCCTTAATCTCTCACCAGGCAGTTTGGAGAGTGTATGGGTAGAAAGGAAGCAGGAGTGAAAAGAAATGATTGAAGCCCATCGAATCGATTTTGCAGAGAAATCTAAGCTCATGAAGGCAAATGTAGCCTGCCAAGAGAACTCTTCTAGGAACATTGTAGTTGGAAGACCCAACCCTGTTGTCGTAACTTTTACCTAGAGGGAAAGTGTGCAGGAGAAGAACTCTGGGGGAAAAATAGAGGGGGTGGTTTGCTCAAGCATGTCTCAGAAGCAACTGCTGGATATGTATGGCTTAGGTGAACCTTTAGTTTGATCCCAAATGGCAATTCTTTGCAAATGAAACATCTGCAGCAGCCTGAGATCTCAGGGCCATATGTATCTTCTCACCCCAAGCTCTCTGGACCTCCAAAAGTTTTTTTGGGGGGGGAGTTCATGGTTAAGGTGACCCCAGGAGAAAATCATGAAAAATATCATAGGAGAATAATCCCATTTGTCACATACAATTATAGTATTATGCAAATTAAACCAAAGGGAACAGAAAAGAACAGAACAGAACAGAAACATTTCTTTTTAAAATGTGCTCTGGCTTTCCCTACAACATTTAGAGTGTAATTCCCAGCAAGACACTCTGAGGCCGTGAGCTGCCCTTGGGCCCGAAAAAATGTCACACCTCTCCTGTCTAAGGCCAGAAATCAACAGAGAGATGATAAAGCCTCTAACAAGATTAGATGGGCAAACTGAGTGCAGGAAGTAGCTTACTTTACAAGCCCTGTTCACTGGATAGCTTTAGTACTAGAAACAGGAGATAACATCTCTTCCAAGGCCCACTTTTACACCTACTTCCTTCACCCTGTAATCCCAAAGAGTAAACAGTTTAGGGAATGTGGTCTTCTGGAGTGACAAACGATGACATCAACACTGCATATACAGGAAGAGGAGATGTTTGAACTGGCAATTCCCAAATTATGGCATGCCTGTGTGTGTGGTGTGTGCAGGTGCCCCTGAATCAGGATGACCCTAGTGAATGCATGAATATTTGCCTTCCTGAACTATCTCTGTAGCTGTTCCAATGACACCTCAGCAATCTTCTTGTTCTTGTCCATCAGTCTTATCTGTTTTCTTCTCCTTCTCTAAACCTTGCCAAGCAGAGTCATTTTTTCCTAGACTATCATCTGCTTGCATGACAAATCCAGGGTATGTGAGTTTCTGCGTGCTGATCATTGCCTTAAGGGAGCAGCTAGTCTTTTGTTGGCCCAGGACTGAGGACCTGATTCTTCTTGCAATACATGGCACTCTTAGCATCTCCAAATCCATAATTCTCCTTTCTCTTGTTCTTTCACAATATACAACTTTACCCAAATGGAGATAACATGCAACTTTATACCAATCAGGCCTTGAGTCTCCTCTACACAGGGCTATCTGCACTGCTGACACTCCGTCCGATCCACAACCTTTAGTCCAGACCTTGGATCAAAACATGAATTTGGACTGGATGGACATTTGAATTTTATCCAGAAGGCTTTTCATATGGAGAACCATTTTTGATGTTTAAAAAATGCTACACTCTGTGCAAGCTTATCAGGGAATAAATCCCAAGAAACATAACTGGACTAACTTCCAAGTGTACAAACAAGAACTGTCCCAAGGAGTTTCTCTTCTCGGTGAAGGTTGGACTTGAAGTTCAGTCCCTGGTCCCCAAGGTGGAAGATAATCCCCAAGGCAGCTTGTTCAACAGACAAAGCAGCTCTGGAACTGACACCACTCAATATGCCCCCTGTTCTTCCCCTGCCCACCAAATATAAGAAGCAAAGATCTGGATGGGGAATGATGAGCTGTTCATTTTTTTGCTCTCAGAAAGCACAGAATATTAAGGGTAGCTATGTTTCATCTGGAGCCCCTGGTTTTCTTTGAATCCCCCCTCCCTTTGCCAAATGAAGGTTTGAAAGGAGTGGCATGATTAGACAAGACAGGCAGTTCCTGAAAGAATTACCTAGAGGTCTTTTAATAATATGACTGGGGGGGGGCAGCAAGAGAAGAGGTCGATCAATCCCTCTTCAATTATTAGCTCACAGGGCAGCACCAGATGTTTACATCTGTGTGTGCAATGCAGGGCATGGCAAAAAGAGGCTACAGGGGCTATCTGCTGCAGCATCTTTTTGAACAGCTGGTGCCACAAGAGAGTTGACTTTGTTGCCTGGGAGGATCTGCTGGAGCACCCACTACAATTCAGTTGCACCGGACATCCTTCAAAAAGCAAAGGAGTTCCACAAAAACCTCAGAAGCTTGTTTTCTCTTTCCATCCCTCCCTTCTCTTGTATCTTCCTGCTGTCTGCCTGGAGACACAGCCACTTTCTGGCTGCTTCTTCCAAGCTTTGCACTGGCACAGCTTAGATTCTGCTGAGGCTGGCAGAGAAGATGGAATATGATTGTTCCACTCCTGGGTGGAAAGAACAGAAGACCAAGAAGGAGCACAGAATAGAGAAGATAGCCACAAGCTCCAGCTATGATAGAGCTATGCTCTATCAGGTTCCCAGGCAAAACTGTGGCAGAAATTCCCAGTATGGAGCAATCCAGCTGCTAGCCTTGAACTTGGCTTAAGCATCTCAGAGACCCAGCCCAGCACTGCTATATAAGAAGTTTCGCTGCTTGCTAGGATGAAGCTTACATAACAGTTGACTGCCTTCTGTCAAAGTAAAGATGCAAAATCCTTCTTATGCCCCAGAGAAGTTCAAAGCTATTGCTTCTTCCTCCTGCTATATGTCAACAGACTTTAAGCTTCATGACCTTGAAATGGAGTGATTGTTGATCATTCATGTCACCATCATCTTTGCCCTGGAGGCTGTGGGCTCTCAGCTTGACTCTCATGCACCTTTGCCTTTCCAGAACTGTTGGGTCTCCAACCTTTACAGTTCCTAATCCACAAGGCCAACAACTGGGGAAGACTGATCCATGGCCACAGATTAGGGGCAGGCAAACTCATAGGCCAAGGGGCCACTTAAGCTTTTGATTGACATGTTGGGGACCCAACTTGGAAAAGCAAGTAGGGTCAGGCAAAACCCAACTTTAATTCCAATCTCAACTGAATTCCATATAGTGAGCTTGATTATTCCCCATGAATGTAATAATCTTTCCCTCCTGTTGCGTTAACTATTGCCATCTAGCATCCACATATCCAGGAACTCCAGTTCTGGCGGAGAGGGCCTATCCCAGTATAACATCACAGGTTGTGCCCCAAGGCCATAAAGTGAGAGGTTGTGGCCCTTCCTCCTTGCACTGAGCTCATGAATTACATGTTCTCCCCTTTCCCTTAACTTCAGTGGGTTATGCCTAGCCAGAATAGTTCTATCTGCCAATAACAGGTTAAACGCAGTGCCTATTGAATGGTTGAGATTTCTCAAGGAAGTGCCATTTCAGAATACAGTAAAAGGAGGTGACCTGAATTTTTCTTTATGCTAAATCACAAAGGAAAGCTGGTGCATAAGGGCAAAGCTAGAAGGCTTTCCCAACCTTGCTTTCCACAAACAGGGTGGGGAAGCCATCATAGGAGTTCTAATAGGACTCTACATTGCATTCCAAAGTGACACAAACAAATTACACCGTGCTCCTTCTCTGATTATCTGAGTCGGCTTTTAGCCAGCAAATGAAATCATGGAGGCTTTTGTTGCTGGAGTAAGAAGGATTTAAAGCTGATGCAAGGAGAGGATAAGAGATGTAGAATGATGGAGTTGGAAGCTGAGGCTTCGCAGCCACACCTCATTACTTACAAACAACTGTCTTAGGAAGCTAGCTTCTGTTCCCTCTTGCTATCACACCGAGTTAAGCAGTAGCTGCACAACCTGCAGCTTAACTCTATTACCTTTCTGATGAGTTGTCTTCCAGGTGAGCTATTAGAGCAACCAGAAACCAGGAAGCCACTCAGAAGGTTGTTCCCACACTATTGAGTTAAAATGCTTGCCACTGACTCCTCCTTTTCCCTGTGCCGTGATTCTATTGCACTATCTCCAATGTTGCTAAGGGTCACCCTGAGAGTTCAGGCTGAGTCCAGAGGTCAACGGGGTGGGATAGAATGGGCATAGTCTCTAGGAATGAATTGAGCTATAGGCTGTATAGGGTTCAGTGTAGCAATCTATTTGAAGCATATACAGTAGCCACAGGGCAACCCTAATCCTGGTTCAACTCTGCACCTATTGTCCAGCAAGCCAAATTTGCTCCTACACCTCATACAGTTGATAGTAAGTCATAAGATTTTTTTAAAGTCAAAGTAGTTATGTAGGACAATAATCCCATAAGTCTCTTAGAAAAGCATCCACAAATTGTCTCCCAAGAGCCTTGAAAATGTTCAGTGGCTTATGAGGGAAAACTGGATGGAGAGATTAGTTATACAGTGCCTGGGAAAGAGTTAGAGAAGATCAAGTTTCCCCACAATGCAGGAAGGATAATTCTTGCTGGACAACCGTGAAGGGAAAGATCCTTGATCGATCCCTGCTCTACATCCCACAGATCACTCAACAGCTAATTAATTTCTGATGAGATGGACTAGTAGAGCTACCTATCTTGTCTAGCTTGGAGTTTGGGTAGCTCTGAAGCCCAGCAAGGCTCCAGAGTTCTGCATCTCCAAGCTGGGCAAGGAATGGGTAAAATAGTTAAGAGATGCCTCCATCACCCACCATCTAAATCCTTTTTTAGGAGCTGATGGGAAGCTTGGGGGATTCTCAACCAACTTCAGAGCTGGAAAGAAGCAGGCAGGTAGAGATTCTAAGCACATCTCATCAAAAATTGTAATGTGCTTCTCCCAGAAATGGTGCAGCATTGCTTCCATATCTGCCCAATGGAGCACAGAACAGGATTCTTGTCCTCCTTATGGAAAAATCCCCCATCCCACAACACAAATATACACTTTCCCCATCCAGCAGTTTCCAGTGAGGTCCAAGTATCTTAGTGGACTTGAAGTACATACATGAGAGATGGGACACTTTTTTCCCTGGTAATCCTTCCTTCAGGTAAGCCAACGTTTGGGCCCACACCAATTCCTTTCTCTCCAACCTGTTTGGTCAGAAGATGGAGAAGGTGAATCTGAGGTTGCAAGCCATGTCTCAGAAGGATTCATTCAAGCTAGCTACAGCTCAAGCAAACTACACTGCAGTGGGCATGGTTGAGTAGCAGCCTACCTCAACAATGGTACCAACAGAAGCTGAAGAAACAGGCTAGCCCACAGCGACTTACTGATGAAGTTGGCCTGGCCGGTGAAGATGGTATACTGGAGCTCATACGAGCTGACGCTGAACTCATCATCTGAGATCCAGTGGACAGTGATGGTGTCATGGGAGGCAGTGCAAAGTTCTTCACGGACAGAGGGTGGGTTGGGTGCTGTAAAAGCAATAGCAGACAAGATGTTAGCAGCATCATGCCCTCTTCATGATAAAGCATTCAGGAAAAGCAGACTGTATGTATCTTTGTTCTATACTGCATGGATTAGCTGCAATTTACAACCTAGTTGTGACAAAAAATGTGCATGATTCAGAGAAGGGGGAGGACAATGCTGAGCCATTACAGAAAAGATATTTGAGTCTTGGGAAAGTGCAGGGCATGAGAAAGAAATTCAGAACAACTCTGCCTTGATTGTGTTAGGCGTCGGTTAAAGTAGACAGGGGCTGCAGCAGGCTTTCAAGGTTCCGTTACAATACCCTAACCGCATTAAAGTACATTCCAAGACTCCTAGCAACTCCTGTTTCCTGACCATGCCAACCTCAAAGATCTGCAAATTGGCTAGAACCTGCAGCCTAGCACTGATTTGCTGGCATCTGCACCACCAAGGGCTAGGAACCTGCAGTGTTACCCTATACTTCCAAATCCTGAAGCTCTTTCAAAGTATTTATTTCCTTCAAAGATATTAAATGAAGTGTTGATCACTTAATTAAACGCACCCATAGAGCACTGTAGAAAAAATATAAGGTACAAGCCCAAGTCAACTATGTGGAGAAAAGGTAAGGCAGAAGAGCTAATCAGTGTTCATTGTCCAATGTTCATTGGGTCAAACTGCCATTGAGGTTTTTAAGAATATCCAAGTGGCTTGAATGAAGCATGACTTCTCCTAGTCCACACCTAATTTTTATGTCCATCTCTGGATAAACAGGTTTTACAAAATGCTGTCAAATCTCTTGGTAAAGGTTGAGAGGAAAATATGCAGCACATCTATCTCTCCATCCATCCATCCATCCATCCATCCATCCATCCATCCATCCATCCATCCATCCATCCATCCATCCATCCATCCATCCATCCATCCATCCATCCATCCATCCATCCATCCATCCATCCATCCATCCATCCATCCATCCATCCATCCATCCATCCATCCATCCATCCATCCATCCATCCATCCATCCATCCATCCATCCATCCATCCATCCATCCATCCATCCATCCATCCATCCATCCATCCATCCATCTGGATGGCCTTCAAAATATAATTATTTATTGTTATTGTTTATTTTATGATACTTATAACCTGCCTCATTTGGAAGGGTCTGGGTGGCATACAACAAAGTACAGTGGTACCTCAGGTTACGAACGCCTCTGCTAATGAACTTTTTGGGTTACGACCAGTTCCGGCCACAAAAATTTAACTCAGTTTGCGAACTCCACCTCAGGTTACGACCCGGATCCGCGGCCATTTTCCGCCCGACACGTGGTCCGCGGCCATTTTCCACCCCTGACACGTGGTCCGTGGCCATTTTCCACCCGACACGTGGTCCACGGCCATTTTCTGCCCCTGACACGTGGTCATAGGGAGGGGGACTCTCCCTCCAAGCAATAGCCGCCTCCCTGTCCTCCACGCCAGAACGGATTAACGGTAATTACATTGAATCTTATGGGGAAAGGGACTCTCCCTCCAAGCAATAGCCGCCTCCCTGTCCTCCACGCCAGAACGGATTAACGGTAATTACATTGAATCTTATGGGGAAAGGGACTCTCCCTCCAAGCAATAGCCGCCTCCCTGTCCTCCACGCCAGAACGGATTAACGGTAATTACATTGAATCTTATGGGGAAATTTCCTTTGGGTTGCGACCAATTCGGGATGCGACCAGAGTCACGGAATGAATTAAGTTCATAACCCGAGGTACCACTGTATACATAAAAAACTGGCCACAATCATGTCACTGGTTCATCTAAACCTGAACATTACATTCCTGGATGCTACAACTTGGTACCTGGTTCTTAGACAAGGTCAAAGTTTGATGCACAGGGTTTCCTCTTCCATTCACCATCATTTCTGCTCAAAATGGGGGGGGGGGGCGTTCTTTTGTGAGTATAAGCAGAGATCTATCCAGCTTTGTAATTATTCAGGGTCTCAGGAACAAAGTTACTTCTTGACCCTTGCTGCACTAAATCTTTTAACTAGAAATGTTACGGATTAAAACTAAGGTTTTGTGCACACAATATTACATGCAGTTACTGAATTAAGGGCTCTCCTTTAGCAAGGACAGAGATGATATTACCCAGCGAAAGACAGTAACATCTCTGGCAGTAAAGAAGAGAAAGGCAACCTTCAGGGGTTGGAAGGCCACCTTTTAATAGTCTGGGGGTTGGGTGGAGTTGAGTGAAGACGCAAAATGGGAGAAACCATGGGTAGGATTCAATGTACATTTTTTCCTCTGGATTTGAGATTTTCTTTGTTTAACCAAGATCCCTACATCATGGTCAGTGTTAACAGCTTACACTTGTTGATTGTTTCCACCTTCAATGTGGCAGAAACTGTACCACCGATTTTCAGTAATTGTGGCTGGAAGCAGATCTGGAAGTTGCCAAAAAGAGAGAGAGAAAGGTAGGTGTGCAAGTTCAAAGACCAGATTGTCCACCGCTGTACCAAAGCATAGATGATAACAAGAGATGTTCTGCTATTGGCTTTCCAGCCTTCATCTCCTGCAGAACAAATGGTTTTATGGCCATCTACTGACATCTTTTGTGCCTTTCCCAGCACAACACAATGACACTTAGCTATTTTGCTCATTACCGAACCCCTACATCATAGATCTATCTGCCACTCTTCATTACTCCAGATAGTAACACAAAGCTAATTCTCTCTTTCTGCAGCTAATGTCAATCAGGAGATTTTTGCTGGAGCACCTCTGTGGACCCATGCACAAAGTGATAGATGGTGGGGTCAGCCACCCATCCAGAGAAAACAAAGATTTAATATTACATTATAACAATGAAATCTGATGCCCACTTTGGTCACAATCAAGTTAACAAACTAACTATAACTAAGCTGACCCATCAAAACGTGCTCCTTTTCCTCTCCTTTTGTTTTCATTAAACAAGCCTATACTTTGAAATTATATTTGCAGCTGAAATCAAGGAAACAAATCAACTTCCTTGCACAGTGTCATTTTTTAAAATTGTCCTACTCTGAGGATTAGATTGAAAGAACAATGGTCTTCTTCTAAGTTTCTTCTCAAGAACACATGCTTTTTAGTTTGGGGCTCAACGCACATCCAGAGCTGTCCTCTGTCTTCAGATGGTGGTACTTTCTCTAAAGGCCAAGCTGATGCTGCCATTTTTGTTGAGGTAGGAAGCAATGCTTCAGAAGCCATAAGGATCTTGCAGAGCCAACCCACAGTGAACATTTGCACTTGCAAAGCAGATCATAAACTCTTGCAGAAGTTGTAAACCATAGCTTCTGAGAACCAGGAAGAACACTTTTGCTCGAATGGCCAGGATCAGAACCAATGGAAGAAAACTACAATAACACAGATTTCCACAACAGCATTTAAATGGCAAGAAATGGTCATGAACTCCCATGCATTTAATGTTTTAAAGCAGAGGCCCAACAGTCATCTATCCTGGACGAAGATGATGCTTTTAAAACCCTTCCTGAAAATTTGTGCACATTTTCATAAACATTCCTCCACAGACATATGCATATGTATTACACATTCTTGATATATTGACATTTTTGTGTGCATTTCCTAAACCAGGTTCTCTTGCACGTGAATTTCACTTAATATGCTTTATTTCAAAATGCGCTTTCTCTTAATATGCAGATTAATAAGCTTTTTTTGAGTTGTAAATTGTGGCACAACATTCAGAAAGGTACTAAACTTGGCATACAATTGCATTCTGGCTCAAGGAGAGCAAATTCTGTTCAAAATTTGATTCAAAAAGTGAATCAAACACATTCCTTCCCTATTCCATATACCTAGATGCTGGCTCCCAAGCCCTGATGAATTTGTGTGAGTTCACATTTGCACAATACAGGTGGTCCTCGCTTAACAACCACTCGTTCAGCAACTGTTCGAACTTACAATGGCGCTGAACGAGGGGGACTTATGACCGGTCCTCATACTTATATTGGTCACAGTGTCCCTGTGATCACGTGATCATGATCCAGGCACTCAGCACCTGGCTTGCAATTATGATGTCACAGTGTCCCATTATGTGACCACACAATCGCCATTTGTGACCTTCTTTGCTGGCTTCCTATAAGCAAAGTCAATGGGGAAGTTGGCAGGAGGTCACGAATGGCGACCATGTGACATCCTCGCTTAATGACCCATGGTGATTCGCTTAATGACAGCAACTGGAAGTGCCAGAATTTCTGCCATAGTCACGTGACATTGTGCTTTATGACCACGTCATTTAGCAATGGAAATTCTGGTCCCAATTTCCGTCATTAAGTGAGGATTACCTGTACCTTTACACCGTGCTGATGTGAACTTTGCAACAGGGCACCACTATCTGCTATTCTATGTGGCAGTCCTTGTTTGCTGTTGTCCTGGGCTGATTGATAGAAATAAATCCCCCTTGAAATATCAAGTGGGCTGTACTCCTGATGTTACGAGACACAACTGGAAAGAAGTAAATTGCATCCCCTCTACCCATCCACAAAAGTCCACAACACTGAGAGAAAAAGCAAAAGCAAAAGCAGAACAAGGTAGGGAAAGGAAGCATAAGATTGCAGAATCGGCACAAACCTGTTAGATAATCCAGCCCCTCCAGCAATTTTTTCTCTCTGGAAAAATCTAAAGCAAAGTTTTCAAAGGCATCGTTAAAATTGATATCAGGTATCAAAACTTGAGAGGATGCAGTTGCCATGGCAACCCTGAAAGACAGAAAAAGAGCATCGCTATCCATTAGGTGGGGCTTGTCAGCGCTTTGATTTTTGATGAAAGAGCTGGGAACAGCCTTGCAATGTTGTCAACTCTTGTAGCAAAGGGGACGGGGCGGTGGGGCGGGGGGAGACCGGCAGGGCGAGGACGGTGGAGAGACATCCATGGATTTGGAAAGCAAGACCTCTGTGGTCTAGGCAGGACAAACGACTGGAAGCTGGATGAGGGCATTCTGGCCCACCTAATCCAGTTCCTGACTTATTATTTCACTCATACATTCATTATTTACTTATTACTGGCATTTCTATGCCACTCTGCTCCAAAATGGCTCCAAGAAATACACAGCAGAAATAGAAGTTTTAAAAACATCAAAACAGACAATATAACTAATCAGCAAAGACAGATCATTCATCTCAGCAAGAGTGACTTGCCTGAAAGGAGGGTTGGAATACGTTAACCACATACAACCATGTTCATTACTAAATTATGTATCAGTCTATAAATGCCAGTATATTGTCACTGGCCTATAGTGCTGATCTTTATATAATGCCATTGCGTAGTGACTACGTGTAGCTTTATCTGTGTTGTTTTGAGAATGGACATGCTTGAAAGATGGAGTGAGATCCACTCAAAGCAAGTCCAAAGGGGAAAAAGTTTTGTTCAGGAAGATTTCAGACTGTGCAACACGTGGGAGGTGTGTGGCATATGGGTTTAGTGGCCTGGTATGGCTGCCAGCCAGGTCTCTCCTTTCCGTTCTTGGGCCTTGAGTGAGTTCTTGTCCCTCTGGGTCTACACTTCTCTTCTGCCAGGGAAGCCACCCCTGGACCCTTCTTCTCCCTTCCCGACCAGAAACCAACAACTGCTCTGCACGCTTAACTTCTCTCTCCAACTTTCCTCTCCAGACCCTCCATTCACTCCACGCACAGATCTTTTCTCTCCTCTTCTTCTCTCTCTCTCCAGTTTTTAGGTTAGACCAGCCGCATGTCCCCCAGCAACTGAGGAAGTGGGTGTCCCCCCAAGGCTCTAGTCCCCAACAGCCATATACAAAGCTGGCCAAGGAGACTCTGTCTCAAAATCTCACCACATCAGCCCTGGCTAGCAGCCAGGTCAGCTCCGCAGGCCTCGTGACAGCACAGCTGCCCTTCAAGGCCAGAACTGAGCTCTTTTTCTATTTTACTCACTCCATATATGCCAGCAGAACAGCAGCCAGGCCAGGCCACTAAAACCCATAAGCCACACCGCATTAACTTCAAAGAAGACACAAGTCAAAGTTCCTCAAATGACAGTTCCTTGTGAACTGGATGAGATACGGTGAAAAACTACCAGGAAGTGTGAGAAAAATGGCAAGACAGAACTGACCAAACCTTGGTCAAGCCTTGTTGGAAGGTGTAAACACATATCAGAACCATAGTCTTCGGAAGCCATCACTGAAGATGGATACTACTCCAAAGAATTTGGGATGGATCAAATAAATTCTTTACCAGAAAAGGACACTTCTAGATGAGTACTTTACAGGTAGTCCTCGCTTAACGCCCACAATAGGGACTGGAAAATTGGTCGTTAAGTGGGGGCAGTCGTTGGGAAGGACAGCAGCTGGGGGGCCACTCTGAACTCCTAGCAAAACCACACCTGACCCACCCACCCATTATCTTTGGAGTGCTACCTTTCCGCCACATTCTTTGCTGTTTGCAGGAACCGTGCGTGGTCGCTCTCTTTCAGGATATGCTCAGCTTGGTTGATGAGGACCGTCGACCGCTCCAGGCACTGTCGGCAGTTGGCTACCTGCTGGGCCAGCTTCCTCAGCTTCATCACCTTGGAGAAGAAAAATAGAGGATGCTACGGCAACAACCAAAATCTCATTAGCATGCACCACATTTGGAGGAAACAGCAAGGTGTCAGCGAGCACTTCTAAGGCATCTCTTTAAAATTAAGGGATTGGGGAGTGAAGCAAGTACATGAAAGAAAGCTGATGAGGAGTCACATCCCGCAGGGAGTTCTCGCTGCCAACTTGATGCTTGGAAAGGAAGGGTTGTAGCAACTACAGGCAGGGACCTTCTCAATGGGGATCAGACTCTCAGACTGCAGGATAATTAGCAGCTCACAGAATCATTAGCAGGTTCCATAATGCTTCAGTAATGAATGTATGGAAACAGTTTCACTCTCTGTCCATCCCTCTGTCAGGCTTAGCTAGCCCCAGAGACAGAAATTCTCCTGTTTTTTTAAACTCCTACAGTTCTCTCAGTTGCAAATTTTGCTTCAGAGGGATAAAGAGAATTTTAAAGAAATACGCATGGATGGCATATGGTTTTCTTGCTCTAATTTGATGGTAAGGCAACTAAGGAGTACGGGTGAATATCCTAACTTTTACTGAATACTCTGAAAATTGCTACACTTCTTTAACTTCTCGTGCTTCCTTTTGATCCCAAAGGGGGAAGGGTCCCATCACTGAAAAATTGGAGAATTTCTCCTTCTCTTGGAGGAAACTGAGGAAGCTGCCCACCCAATCTCTCTGCTGCAAATCTAGTGGAGAACATCAGTCACTTGTGGCCAGCTATACGTTTAGCTTGTTTCTATTTACATCCCTCTTCATCATTTCTGATGAAGTTCTTTCTAAATATAAGTGAAAATATAAAATGGTCACTCATTGAGTCTGGTGATTGAGACTTGGTGCCTCCTGGTGGTCAAGGTCACTGAGACTGGATATCTCTTAATTCTTCCAGTTTTATTCTACTTAGTGTTTGGCTGAAATGTGCTGGTCCAAACTCCTCCTTGATGGATTTGGTGAATTAGGGAGGTGTCTGTCTGAGGCACTGAATGTTACCTGGATGTCCTGGACTTAAAACATGTTTCAGACCCTTTTGCCTAGACAACAGCTGCTGTATAACCCCATCAAGATAATCTTCCTTACTCTCTATAGAAAGGCCAAAATTGGACACATTTTGTATAACCAGTTCTGGACGAAGCTAAGGCAACACTAGGAAATGTATCTTTAAGCGCTGGAAAAAAACCACACATCCTCTCCCTCCTCCCAAACATTGGCTACTGAGGTTTCAAGAGACTCTTTGTTGGAACCTCAAGAGTTGGATAGACCTCTTTGTTGGAGCTTCAAGAGCCAGAAATGCAATTCTTGGAAACAAATGACTAGAGTTCACCTCATGTCTCCGAGTTTCTATTCTTCTGGGAAAACATTCTTCTGGGAAGCCAGTGGGGTTTAGCAGTTAAGGCAGGCTTGCAAAAAAGATGCAGACATGGAGACACATGCCAACCACTAACCGCCCTTTTTAGGCTCCCTGCACCCAATTTTATGACAATTTTTACGATGGTCATAAAGCGAATCACATGGTCATTAAGCGAATCCGGCTTCCCCAATGGACTTTTTTGCCGGAATTCACTTAACCACCATGTGATTCACTTTAACACTGCAGTGATTTGCTTTACAACTATCACTGGAGCCCAAAGGAACAGCATATAAACATTCTGCATGACTTTGCCATCCTTATGCAGATACCGTATAACAACATTCTATTATCCCATCTCTTGCGCAACATGAATAGAAAGATTTGGGTCTGGGGAGGTTGCTTTTTCTCACAGCTGGGCCTCCCAGAGAGATACAGCCTGCACAGATACCTCAACCCAATTCCTTTCCTAGGATTACTGGATTATTTCTATGCTTTGCAGGGAACAGGCCAACATGACAGTGACTCTCCGAACGCTTGTCAGCTACTAAATCAGAGCTGAAGTAGCTGCCAGGAGCAGGCTGTCAGTCTGAGCCCCTCTCTGACAAGTGATGGGAAAGTAGAAGAGACCCATGCCCGAGATGGTTGAAATGTGACAGCATCTCTCTGAGCGCCTGTCCCTTCGATCAAAGAAGGCACAGTTAACCCTTATCCTAATGCCAGCCTCAGCTCCACCATCTCCTACTTTCCCTGGAAGCTTTACCTTTGCTCTGCTCAAAGCTTTATGGATTTTTCTTTGCACTCCTGCATTCAGAAATCTACATTCAGGCAAATGTCCGCTTACAAAAGCAAGAATGCATGGCTAACAATTCCACTCCCCCAAATCTCAGAGATAGGGGTTAGATTCCCACACTACAGCAGACTAGAATGAGGTTGAATAATGGGTTCAGTGTATGGGGCAAACCCAGCCACTATCTCAGCATAGTGTGAACCAGCCATCACATTAAGAAACAATGTGGTTGATTTGCTTGGGTATTGCATGTTCTGTACACACAAGCATGGTATTTTGTTAACCTGAATTGAAGGAGAAGAGTGTGGTGTGAACCCATCCACCATAAATTTTTTCTGTTCTTCCCACCCACCAACCACAACAGAAAAGAAATGGAATATTTCAAAGTAAACTCTTGGGTTTGTAGTTCCTTTACATAAAGCACCTGTGGCTTCTGTATCTTGGGCTGAACCAATCAGAGTTCTCCCAGATGCTCAAAATACTTTCCAATCCCTCCACCTCTATTGTCCCCAATGGACAGAGAGGGAAAGTCAAAGAGAGCTGCTAAATGCAAAAAGCTTGCTTGAGTGGTTTGAAGATTTATTTTGAAATTCAAAGAAACAAGCAAGCTAACTCTTGGGTCCTTGGGGCTGTAAGTGTAGCCATCTGTGTATTAGACCTATGTCCATTCTGCCTAATGAAGGCCTCTGGAGTGAAGACGTGGTTGGATCCAGGAGGGATGAATGAATCCTTAAGATAGGTACGCAGTGGAACACCTTGTTCTCAGGACACTATCACTGGATCCAATGTACAAGTTTTGCAAGTTGCACTAGCTTCCACTAGGCCTTTGGGTACAATTCAAGATCCTGCTTACCTCCTACAGAACTCTTTGCAGCCCAAGGTTGGGTTACTTGTGGGACCACCAATCTCCAATTCTTTCTGAGTCCCACAAGATCTGACATGGACCCTTCTATGGTGGGACTCATGAGATATGCCTTCTCTGTTGCAGTACCTGTCCTTTGGAACAGCAAATCCTCTGAGGTTCAGCTGGCCCCAACCCTCCTGGCCTTGAAAACCTGGCCCTTCCTCCACTTATTGGGCCATGGCATTGAATGAACATGTCTGAAATAGCCAGAATGTGAATATGATTGTGGTTTGGCCTCATTTGGGTTCTATCTTTCATTGCCGATTTGATTTTTGCTGGTTATATTTTGTTCTTGGTGGTAATTCTACATTAGCCACCCACTGTCACAATTTGCAATTTAGGCGGCAATATAAACTGCTTAAAATAAATTAAAAAACCAACCCCCCCATGCTAAAGATAGGTCAGTGATCCTTTAAACCCAGTCTTGATGCTCAGATCACCCAGTTTCTGCACTTGGAAAAGCAGAATGTTGTGACCCACATAATCTCTGAAATCTGTTAATTTCATTTTTATGGATCCAGAGATAGTGATGGTCGATTCTTCTGGCCATGGGCAAAATTAGGAACAGAAACAAAGATGGCAAGTAGCTTGAAGATCAGCTAATTTAACCTGAGTAACATAGAATGTTACAACTATATCATCCATGAAGAGGTCCATCTCGAGTTGGCCAATATCCAAGGAAAGTTTCTTCTACTGCTAAGTAGTTCTTAACCATCTGTGCATTTCTTCCTAGCAGTTAGACAAAACCTGCTTCCCTGTAATTGCCCACTTGCTAATGGGTCATCAAACAAATCAACCCAGAGTTCTCGCTTGAGGCACAAATTATCCTATTTTGGACACATTTTGCGAAGACCCAGCTCTCTGAAAAAGGCTCTAACGCTGGGAAATGTGAAAGGAAAGGGAAGAAGAGGATGACCACCAGCAAGGGGGATGGACTCAGTTACAGTGGTGATGGGTGCACCGTTGGAAGAGCTGAAGGACCAGGATGAGGACAGATTGTCCTGGAGAATTTCCCTTCCTTCCAAGGGGGTGGGTAGAACATGACATAATATAACATTCATATTATCTTTCTACTCTGAGGCCTTAAGGGAAGGTGGACTGCATAGACCAGTGTTTCTCAACCTTGGCAACTTGAAGGTGTGTGGACTTCAACTCCCAGAATTCCCCAGCTGGGGAATTC